TAAACAGAAACAACCAGAGAAATGTTTGAGATATTGGCCATCACTTCCACTACTGCTTTTTCAAATCGCGCTGTGTCTGCTATTACTGAACTCAATACTACTAGCATTGGTGAAAGTATATGTGTTACTGACAACATTAATGAAGCTGACAGCATTGATGGTGACACTGCTGACATTGATAATGCTAATGACAATGTCAATGCTGATGAAATTGATGATACTGGTGATACTGTCGTCAACGATGTCACTGAAGGGTACATCCGCTCTCAGCTTATTTCTAAAGCAAAGTTATTTCCGGAAAAATAAGAAATTTATAAGTTGCTTATATCAGGTTGTATGAACATGATGAGTGCTGTTCAAAAATCTGTGTACAAGCATACTCTTAATGAAAGTCATTACGATAATATTATCCAGTATTGTCAATAAATGAAGTAGTTCGAGCTTATTCCTGTCGAGACTGATCTTATAATTTATGAAATATTTGACGCTTTGTTACCTTTTAGATTTGAGTAGGTTTTATATCATTTTTTTGAACTTACGGTCTTATATCCGTCGTGTTTATGTAGATCGTGCTTATTCATTCTCAGTTAATAGACAACGTCAGATATTTATGGTTGTCATCCCTCGCTCTTCACTGTTTTACAACTATATAGGCACAAATATCACAATATCTTTAAATACTAGTCGCGATACAAATCAGGCTGTTAGTACTATGATACAATGAAAGCAGCAGTTCGAAACAAAAAGTTCACCATATATGTCATTCACAGCATCGTTTTTCTTCCAAGACGTTATGAAAAGAAAGGTAATAGCTGTAAATCTCATTCATATACACATAGCATCTCTGATATGGCATGCTAGGAAAATGAAACAGACTCCATGAGTTTAAATTTATGTCAAAATTTGAAAATATCCTAGATCTGCTTTTTGCTGGTAGTGATGTTTCTACCCGTAGTGAAGAAGGAATATCACAATTGACCAAATGAATGGCTATCTTAAATGAATATGATCCAACGTTTATAAGGAGATCAGACACTTTGTTAATTGGAAGTCGCGATGATGAGCTATCAAACATTGAGTTTAAGAAAGCAACAGCACTCAACAATTTAGCGAAGTATCAACAAAACAAAAACATCAAGATTAACAGCTGCATCCTCAACCATATTAATTTAATGACTGGCGCTACCGATAAAGTGATTTTATACTATGACTCTGTCGGAGGACACAGCTATCTTGCTCAGTTGTTTGAGTGTGGAGGCATTTATGTATGCCAAAAGTTACAATCGATTACTATCCCTAGAAATATGCTTGAATTAGAGATATTTCGATTGTTACTGAAGCATATGTTCATTTGGAAAGCACACATGATCAACCTTGGCAACAACATCATCCAATTCCGGCTTGCAGACGTTAGCGGTACGACTAGCCCTCCTTGTTCCCCATCTCCTAATGTTCAGGCAGCTAAGGTGTACTTGTCGCCTTCTAATGCAAACAAGAGAACCCGTTCTACGTTTGAGGAAGATCGAGAGTGATTCATTCAAATTTTTTTTTCATTATATAATATATACCTTATTCATTTGATATCCTGCTTTAAGCACTGTATTTACAGGGAATGATTAAATACACCATTTCCAGAAAGAGATATCGCGCTGCCTTGTCGCTTTTTCGTATAAATTGTATTATAAAAATTGAATAAATGCGACTTAACTTTCCGAAAAGACCGTACAACAATTTCTATTGGTATGTTAGTAAATGATTGTCGTATTCGAAATTTTGCTTTGCCATTTAATTAATCTGCAGGTTTCTAATAAGCTTGTCATTTGCATATAAGCGAATGCTTGTTAAAGTAAGTAGTTGGTTATGATTTTGTCTTATTATAGCAATTGATGATTTAGCGCTGAGAATGTCCACAAAATACATAGAGATCGCTGAACAGATAAAATTTACCAACCGCACTGAGTGATCGAGCTTTAAGTCAGAATATTCCAAGAATGGAGAAACAAGAAATATGATGCATCGAGCAGATAAGTTCATACATACAATAATGAAGAGTTGAAACAAGACAAAGCCTCTATATATCTGTACATTTCTACAATGATGAGACCCCATTTAGATTTAGGTCGCTCACAGTATAGAAATGCCAAATTTACTTGATTAATGATATGCAAATACTAAGAGATCCAAAAGAAGCTCAATGGAAGACAGACAAAATAGTTACAGCAAAACAGCTGGAGGGAAAAAGAGTGCCTTAGATTGTACTCTTAAAGAAGGCTGCTATCTATCGCAAATACCATCCTCTCTTTTCATTTCGTAGATGGAAACTGTTTTTGATACAATGTAGCTTGTAAATCATAAATATGACGAGTTAAAGGACGCATTGTATTTCTTATTCAAATGAAATAAAAAAAGGCATAGCACCGCCTTGTTTACACGCTCAGTTTAGAAATGGAACCAGTTTGAGTTTTTGAAACGAATAAGATAAAGTGAATAGATATAATGAGCTTATGCTTATATAAATATTTATGTGTGTTTAAGACGGTTCTGCAGTAAGAAAGTACATCAAATCTCATATTGAAATATGTTTGGAGAATCATTTGGAAAGAAAAAAAGTTTCGTATTCCCTTCAAAATGGATACACGGTTATAATACAAAATGGTACGTTTGTAAATTTTTTTGGGAGTGATATATTTTCTTTGTGGACACAATTAATATTTCTTCACTCTATTTGGATAAAATTGCCTAAGCGTTTTTTGAAAAAGAAATAACGTGTCTCACTTCAATTATGTCCACTTCTAAATTTTAATCTTTTATCGTCTCAAAAATATTGACAGACGTTTCATTTTAGGTGATAACAGATATATCTCTATTTAGTATTTCTTAATCACGAACAAAAAGATGTTAACTTACCCTTCTTTGGCAGTATCTATGATTATCTTGTCTTTAGGCTGTTGGGGGCAGATCAAAATAATGCAGAGAAAATCAACAGAATCGTTTAATGGTCGCCTGAGATTGAATAGCTGTTTTTGGTAAAAAATGTTTCAGAGAAAGGAGGGTCACTTTGTACACCCCATTTCATAGGTTAAAATAAACACTCTCAAGATCACTCAATTCTAATCCCGATCACTGCACTTTCCCGTCTCCTTCTTCCTTCATTTTTAATGAACTTGTCGGATATTGTAGATAGAGCGGCTGCCGAACAGCGAACAACACTAAATAACTCCACTGCCATTTTGTCACAGACGAGTGATACGAGCAACATTTCGTTGCCAATAACTCACATGCAAGCCAATGACCCAGAAATGGTAGTAACTACAACTTTACCAGGATATTCATTTGCTTTTTCACCCATTCCACCAGCACAAGTAAGATAATGTGGAGTCTTTATTGTTCTTTCCATTTTAAAAGTAAATGTTTAGGCATCAGCAACAGCTTGGTTAGAACGAGCAAAAGCAGTATATGGTGACCAAAGCAAAATATTCCTTTTACCGCAGAGATCACCGTATCCGTCCGTATTTCCACCACACCCACTCGCTCCACCAGCCTTGATTGACCCTTATTTATTACAACAAAACCCTAAAAAAAAACCGATAAGCAACCAAGTGACACTTCAGCAGGTTTCTCATAATTTGCAACAACAACAACAACAACAAACAAAGAGCCCACATGAGACACAGCAACTTAATTTACCCATCCCATCTACTTCTAATTCACTCAGACACGATCGCTCATCCCTTCAAAGCACACCTTCTTCTCCATTTCCTACAGTACAGTCATCACCATTATTGTCGTCACCATCGTCGTCTAGACTACCGCAGTCCAATGGACTACAGACAAATAATAACAATAACAGTAATAGCAGCTGTATGACCATGACACTACCTATTGTCAGGCAATCCACTGATCAGAGCAAAAACTTAAAGGTGAATAAGGAAGCGATAGAAAAGTATGGAAAACTTACTGTAACCGGTAAAAATGTGTCAGAAGATAATATTGTTGAAGGATATATTCAGTTCATACTACAGCATGATCCTTATTATTTCAATAGTATGGAGGCAGTCAGCACAGCGGAGCGAAAAATATCAACTGTACCCAAGACCAATTTATATGGAATATCTTATACCACATGGGACCTATTTCGTCTGATACAGAAACTACAAAAGGGTGATGTAAGTTGATAACAACGTATAATATGCAAAGGATAAGATTATTTATATGTTTACTAGATAAAAAATTGGTCGCAATTAGTTGCCATGCTAGGCCTTCAAAATGTCGCAGGTCGCGCACAGTTTGCACAACGAATAAAACGATGGATGCATAGATACAAAATCGATTGCTATTTCAACTATTTATTAGGAAACGAGTATGATTTCAATGATCCGGAATCAGACAAGAACAAATCCATTCTGTCGTTTAATTTCAATACCAAACGTAAAGTGAAAGAAAAGCCTGAATCGAATGAAGGAGATGAATTGGAAGGCGAGATGGAGACAGATTATTTGAAAGAATACGAAGGCGACGTTGATGATGACGATCATAAGCCAAAACCTATTATACTGCCTCCTGGAGGACGAAAGCGGTTGAGGATCAACAGTGACCCTGAACGGCTGATCCAAGTTGCTAAAAATTTCATAAAGCGGCGTAGATGTGATGATTCGGATGTCGATGAAAAGGAAATGGAAAATGATGCAACGGATGAAATAGAAAGTGAAGCCGAGAGTGAGATAGAGACAACAGCTACTATAAATGGAGAGCATCAAGAAGGGTCAGTGATAAGCAAGAGTAGTAAGGATAAAGATATCCTAGATGAAAGTGAAGAGCCTGTACAAAGAGATGAAGATGGCGAGGACGAATTAGAATCTAGCGCTTCATCATCAGGGTCACCAGTAATGGAAGAAGTATTTAATAATAATAGAAAAGCATCATCTTGCAGTAATTGCCATATGCTTGAATCAGAAGTGGAGCTTCTAAAAAAAGAGATTGCCAATCTCAAGCTATATATCTCTGTGGTTGAAGATAATCTATCAAGACAAAAAAAGGCAACAGAAGCGAGTCAGCAATATATCAACCAATTACTTTTAGAAAAACTAAAACTACGTGGATACTACACTAAATGGAAGCAGAAGCTTGCAAAAGACATATTGAATGGTCCAGTAATACCTGAAGACGAGTGACAATATACCAAATAAACAATAATTGTATAATAACAGGGCCTTTTTATAAGGCTATAAAATAATACTTTGTTTTGACGCGCTTTATTATTATACGGAATCATTGTTTAAGCAAAGCTATGCTTTATTTCTTGTGTTCTCTGACTTATTTCCTCTTCATGAGCCTTAAATTTTAGTGTTGTCTCTGCCTTAGAACGCGTTGCTTGACAAATAGTTCCGCCAATCAATGCTCCCTTTTTCTGTTTTCATTTTTCTCCTTCTCGTTTTTTTTTTTTTT